ATGTTGCAAAGCCAAAAGCAAAAAGTATTCCTAGTCACAGTAGAGAGTGCGTTACTAACTGCTTCATAAAATGTCTGAGAGCCTGTCTTGAGAAATAACGTCAGCGTCGGCAAAATTGGACAAAATATATAGGCGATGTCTCATCACTCATACCTCCACTGTTGCTCATACTTCTGCCAAAAATTGTCCTCCATCTCCTGTTGTAATATCAGGATCTATGACGATTTCTACTACAACTCCTGTTGAGGTGGCCAACGAGGACATGAAGTTGCATCCACCAGTCTTAGTTAGTTTAAAAGTAAAAACACTCATTTCCGAGATTCGTCTACTTGTCACCAGGGCATTCAACAGAGTCATCTAATGGGGCATATGAAAGGTGGTTGTACTTTTGCCTTCTCCTCCTCCTCCTCCTCTGGAGCTGATGAATCTGCCACCAAGATTGGAATTCGAAAGTGTCTTGGTTAGTACTTCGTTACTCGAGGTAAAGCAAAACTCATTTTCCATCCTGAGTGGTCAGCATCAGTGAATGGTAAATAAAAAGTGGGCGAGGAAGGCGTACTTGCGAAGCATTTTGCTCTCCCAAATGAAACAGTGCCAAAAGTGCTTACACAATAAGTAGAAGAGGCTGCTATATCATCCAATTGGGATATTATGTGCCATCGAGTTGGCGTTCCTTGGCCTTTCTTTACCTTTTCAAACAACCTCCTATATAATGCAAATTTATGCGTATCAAAAGTGGACTGAGGTTGTACACATTCAGTCTGCCACGAGTGGTACCATTATGAACAGTCTCTGTCAGGTAGTTGAGAGTAGTTGACAATCGTGACATGCCAAATTGATGGTGGTCGGAAATGACACCCAATTTTCGTCTACTGGATTTGGAGACTTGTGTCGTGGTCTGAACACCACCCTTCTCACTCTCAGCCAAGTCACAGTAGTGAGGAAGAGTCACTTGTTGACAAAGTTAAAGGCAACTCCTCATGACGCAAGGGAATGAGACAGTGGAAGAGTAGCTGAACTCTCTACTTTTTGAGAAGTCGTTGATTCCTCCTGTTTGTGTCCAAATCAGGATAACTGTTGCACCAAAGTTAGGTCTAACTCTCGAAAACATGTATGAGCGAGTCGTACTGGGAGGTCCGTTCAAATATGAACGATTTTTCCAAGAAGAATAATTGAACAACTAATGGTATATTTATTAAGAAGTTAGTGGATTGCAGAGTCGTTGCATTGCAGTATTTTGCAGTAATGCCTACGATTACTATGAGCATCTGTTATTATTTAATTGTGGGATATCAGTGACAATTCGGAAGATTAATTGTAGAATAGCAAGTTTGCTTGTGGAGATGGAAAGTATCACAATGCGCATTTCAACTAACTCAAAGCAGTGATGTGAATGTTTCAATTAAATGTAAATTGGTTGGAAAACAGTTGTGCTGGTGACGCACATATAAGTTCTGGATATGACCAATGAGAGGAGCTTATCATGGCCTTGCGCAAGACAATATGGCCTCCCTTGGAATCCGATTGAATTAGGCCAAATCGGGTCTCAATACACTAATGGTGATTCTAAAGGCTGACGAGATGTAATGGAATTTCTTCCTCAAATCAGAAGACTGACTATTGTGTGGGAGCACTTAAATTGGACGAACATAGGGGGATACGAGAGGAAGAGGGGAGGGAGGAGGAATGTTTGAAATATCAGGTAGGCAAATGGAATGTTGAAAGAACGAGCTGAAATTCAAAGCACTTGAAGTCAGGATTGGCATTAATTGGGTGAATAAGGCGATCTGAGGAAGTGGTCTGTTTAGGCTTTCTTTGTTCGACAGAAATTGGCAACTAAGGCGAACAGACCTAAGCACCATAATGAGCATACTACAATTTTAAAAATGCTAAGTCCTAATTAGAGCCCACTTTATATATCTTTATATTCACATGAATCCCTTTCCAGGGCGCTTTTCTCATTCTGTCAGGAGGGTTGTATAAGCAAAGGATGATGTTATTATCTGTTCACCCCCAATTTGTATTCAATTATTTTGAGCATTGTAGTTAATCATTTTTCTTATCTTAATAGAATACTTTAAGGAAAGTAGAACATTGTTTCGATGGGAACTTATGACAAAATTGAAAGAAATTTGACGTCAACAATTTGCAAATCGATTGTGCATTACTTGCCTAGTGAATTCCACAATGGCAGTGTAAACAGTTTCCAAGTTAAGTCATCTTTGAAAATATCTGAATTAGAAGAAGAGCAACTGGTTGGGAAAAGAATTGGAACGTTTGTTCTGTCAAGGACATATCAGAAATGTCAAATGAGATGCAATAACTTGTAAGTAATCATTTATTAATAGTAATTCGTCTTCCGCTTCCTTAGAGAATCATGCTCCAGTTAAATGGATAGTTAAGGGGGGTAAATTTAAATGATTTTAACGAGCTCTTTTATTTGACTTCCCAAGAAGTGGTCTTGACTCTCTATTTAGTGTTTGCCAATTGCTACCTTTGCGTATGGATATAATTTTAGATAAAGCACTTTGGCATTGAGATAATCACGGAAATCTGTAATTCGCATTATAGGGAATTTAATATATCGTTGGCTCCATTCTCCCAATCAGACGGCTTTAACCTGCCTCTCTTAATCTGATGGCTTAACGTATTTTGATTTGTCTGTCTCGTACCTTAAACACCTGTGTGCTTTCCTCCTTAGTTCATCTCCTATTTCCTAAGACAGAAATGGTTCAGTTCAATCCAAAGTAGTATTTTATTCACCTTTAATTACAGGTCACTTACGGGTCATCAACAGTAACGCCATAAAATCACTAGAGGAAATCCGTTAGCATTAACAACGATCTATTTATTCTAAATGATAAATATCATAAAGCCTGCCATTTGAAAAAAATATTCTAAAATGACTTTCACAGCCAAATTCTAGCTCATATTCATTATCATCGTCAAAGATCGGGCCTCCCCATTCTTTGTATTTATTTAATGCGAGAAACACACTTTCTCTCTCACTCTTTAACTGAGGTTAAAACGACCTTGAAAATGCGCCGAAATTTCTAACTTTCTCTGAACTTTAGCGCTCAACCGACTTAAGATAAAACACGACGTTGATAAGCAAGTTAGGCTAGCTTCTAAATAAAA